GCCTCCCCCTTTGGGGGTTTTGCCAGTAGTTGCCATGCTTGACAGGCGGATTGGCAACCGCAGTTAGGTTTTAGAGATGTTTTAAATAGAACGCTGCTGCCCATCCTTCGCCCTTCCATAGTCGCGTCTTACGACACTAACGGGAAAGGAAGGGGTGGCCTATTCTAGGCCGGAACCGACATGGCGAATTAAGTAAATATACTTGTATTTAATAATACAAAACTTTCAATTTGAAGGACACTACCGCCTTACACTTTAGTCCTCAGTTGCCACTTTATCAGGTGGGTCGTTAGCTTGCTTGCTATTCTAAATCGCATAAAAAGGTATGATTATTTTGTATGAGAATTAATAAAGTGTTTTTAAAGCCCTGTTTTTAGTATACATTTTATTTCTAGTTAAACGTCAATAATTTCATAATTATTGTAAAAGAGTTTTTTTTTATGCAACTTAAAAAGTCAAACAAACTGACGGCCCACCTGATGGAAAGTGGTAACCATCGCCTGTAGACATAAGCAGTACCATAGACATAACAGAGTATACTGTTTCGCCCATGATATCCCCCCCCCCCCCCCATGTGTTGCCATTCTTGTGGACTCAGGTTTTATTCCTCTGTACCCTGTAAATTCACTGCCATATCCCACCGAAACACAGTCACGATTGCTTCACGGTAAAACCACGAATGGGACAGAGGTGCTCAAGCACTACGACTTTTGTACAAAGTCTCAGTAAATTTATTTAAGTTTAATCGACCTAACCTTTAGACAGTTCTGTCACCAAATCTGCTACAACATCTCATCGTAATGGAGTTGTAAGTACACCTGTACTAGATATTTCGTAGACGTTAGTTATGGAAACACCGATTTGTCACAATTGTGACAGACATTTTTATTGTCACCGATAAATTTATGACCTTGACATATGCGATTGGGGTTTGGAATAACATTTATAGCTTCAATTTCGGAAAACAACGACGTAAAATATTTCAAAGAAATCATGTAGGTAGGTATAGTTTGGTGAATTCAAGTCGCAGTATTATTCGTAAAGAATCATAATGTTTGCTATCCAAAGCTGTTTTGTTATTCCCCGCTACATTTTGAATCATTATTTATAAGTGTAATAAAGTTGTCAGTTACAAAAAGGATTTTTATTTTTTAAGCTTCTCCTTACATTTGTGTAAGTTTTGGATCGTATTTTTTACTCATGACAGAATTTATGTGTTTCTTTAAGTGATGAAAATAGAATGGTAACTTTGTTTGGGCTATCACTATAGATACTGGGAGTACACTCTAAAACATGTCAAGAGTATTCTGCCAATGAAACTAAATATTTTGCCCAATAAATATTTAGTTTCATTGGGTTCATTTAGTTTCACTTCATATTTACCAGAGGGAGACTTCGTACAAAAGTCGATTGCTTTGGTACCTCTGTCCCATTCGTGTTTCAACCGTGAAGCACTTGTGTTTGCATGGCTGTGTTTCGGTTTGAAGGGTTATGGCGTGAATTTAAAGGGTACAGAGTAATAACACCTAAGTCCTCAGGAATAGCAACGCATGAGGGGTATCATGGACGAAACACTATACTCTGTTATGTCCATGGTACTGCTCATGTCTATAGGCGACGGTTACCACTTTCCATCAGGTGGGTCGTCAGCTTGTTTGCCATTCTAAGTTGTATAAAAAAAACTTGTACCTAGAAAGTGCAGTAAATTTTAAGTCTTCCGTATTTAATACCGCATATTCAATTATTAAATTAGTAAGTCAGGTTCAATTCTTTTTTTTTTTTATTTTCAACCGACTTCAAAAAGTAGGAAGTTCTAAATTCGGTTATTTTTTTTCTTTTTTTAATTTTGTTATTTACCTCATAACTCTGTCAGTTGTAAACCGATTTAAAAAGTTCTTTTTTTAATCTATGCCATACGGACCATACGCCAATTTAGTAAATTTATTATAGATAAAAACAATGGTAGAATAGATACATTTTTAGATAAGTGCTATATATTATTCTTTATAATATAGTATATATCATATATGTGTAAGTATATTTGTTATTCATATATATTTATTCGTTTATATATGTAAAAGATTACAATAGTAAATTCATTATAGATACAAAGAATTACAAGAAATAATAACAATGAGGAAACAATATTTTCTTATAAAGAGGCATAAGATTTCTGTTTCAAAGTCCATATATTATTTTCATTAAATGTTGAACAAACAAACCTATAAACTATAAACAATTCCTGATTATCTTCCTACGTACTAGCACTGTGCCGAATGAAAGTGAAATTGTTGCGCGGATACGAAACTATTGTTATTAGTTCAAAGATCCGCGCCTGCAGCCGTCGCGGAAGCAGTGATCTGCGCTGCGCATGCGCCGCTAACGTAAACCAAAACAATTCACTTAATCTTTATATTTTAATTTTATTCATTGTAATTACTTGTTTTTATAAATTATTATTATTATTTCAGCCATTAGCTGTCCAGTGCTAAACATAAGCCTTCCTCATAAGGGAAGTTTTGCTAGTAGTTGCCACGCTTGGCAAACGAGTTGGCAACCGCAGTTAGGCTTTTAGAGATGTTTTAAGAGGGACGCTGCTGCCCATCCCTCGCCCTCCCTTAGTCGTCTCTTACGACACCCACGGGAAAGGAAGGGGTGGCGTAGTCTATCCCGAGACACACACAGCGATTGATAGATCAGTACAATTTCAATAGGTACATTTATACTTTATTACGTATTATTTATTATATTATTTACATATGGCGCATTCTTCTCAACAGATAACAACATTCCGCACCCAGTTGTAAAATTATAAAATTGTGACGACTTAAAAGAGTTTGTAAACAAGTATATTTAAATAAACATTGCTTTAATATTGATATGGCAAAAATAATAAATGAATACTTTAAATATTAAATCCGCTCAACGGCGGAATGGACGATCCTGCAACTCTCAGCCGTCGTTCTTTGTACGCACCCCAACGCTGCATGCGATTCCGTGCTTGTCGACTACTATCGGCACCGTCGGTACGCACATGTACTGCTCAGTTTGCTCCCACTTATCAGGCTATTTCTCTGCTCAATTCTCCGATTGCTCAGCAGCCAGATATTGATATATTTAATGACAAAATAGATATATTTTTAAAATGTTGTACAAAATTTGTAAGTTTGTAAAATAAACCTGGCACATAGCTCACTACACGTTTTGGGAGACTGTAAGTGTGGTGAGTAATTTTCAAATAAATAAATAAATAAATGTGAAAGAAAGTGTGTTTGTTTATTACCTTATAGCGCCCTAACAATTCAACCAGTCATTAATGTAATTTGTTATACACATTCTATATGGGATGGAAAAGAATATAGGCTTTTATCCTGCTCAGTAAACATATCCCGGTCAGGCGGGCGAAGTCGCGGGTTAAAGCTAATATTTTTATAAGCGAGTTTCTATGTAATTGTTAATTAATAACCACTATCATAAGTGGACAAATAAGTAATATCAACTTAATACTTAATGACATTATAAGTGAAAGTTTTTTTTTAACTTTATACGACTAAATAGCTTCAGCAAATATCATGAAATTTAATATAAATGTAAGTATTATATGGATTTGTGAAAAACATAGGTTATAACCTATTTTCCGGATAAAAAATAAGTCTTATAGATATACGTCAGTCAACATATCCGGGATTTGTTGTGGGTTAAAAGTAGTTCAATATAAAAACAGTTCTACATATTACAAAGCGAATGCAAATAATATAGAGCGAAAGCTTTTTACAGCTGATTGGCGCGGCAACCCATAGTTTTATGGGCATCATTCAGTTATAAAATTGTCTCTAAACTTTACTTCGTGATGTAATGTTTTCTTCCTGTCTGTACTTAAGTTGTACCTTCCTACTTACTTATTTTATACAAGTATATCTTTTCAATCATTTATAACGTCAAGTATTACTTATATAATAAATTAATATAGGATAAAAGCTCTTTTCTTCTTCACGTGTTGACGCAGTATGACTATAGTTTGCAATCTTTTTATATCCAAAGTATCTAAAAACTAAAAGATTCTCTCAAAAGCATCTAAAACCGCAAAACACCATAAGAGTAATGAGAAAAATCTGCAAGATAACAGAATAAGACAAGGGAAAGTGCAAAAGATTTCAATAAATCAAGGAGTTTATTTATTTATTTATAGCATTACCAACATAAGAGACAGCTTAACATTTTAATACAATACACTGGTAGATTAGATCTAACTGTTCTTACGTTTATAGGCAACCACAGCATTACCTGAATTCATATGCTAATATAAATTAAAATAATAAAATACCCAGATAACAAGATAAAGCATAACAGAAAGTATCGATAACATAATCAATCCCTGCACGTATCCATTGTGGTCACATAGCTTGTAGAACCGACAACGGATGGTGAAGAAAGGTTCTTTTTTTTTTCAATGCATGATAATGGAATGGCAACCCCGCCTGTGCCATCGGTATACGCTGGCGGGGCACCAGTGAGGGGTGATAGGTGAGAATGAAAAGGCAGGTCAGTTAGCCCATCGTGATGAATACACCTGTAATTCAATCAACCAGTGAGGGATGATAGGTGAGGATGAAAGGACAGGTCAGTTAGCCCACCGTGATGAATACACCTGGAATTCAGCACGATGGTTTCCAGGAGGGACCGCGTGGAGGTCGACCTGATAATGTATATTGCTAGCAATGGGTCTGATAATCCGCATTACTAACAACCCCTCCCTCCCTGAAGAAAGGTTCTAGAGTGGTGTAGTAGGACGACCCCCCACTAGATGGAGTGGCGACCTGAAATGCATTGCAGGGAGTCAGTGGATGCAGGTGGCTCAGGTGACCGTTCTTTATGGAAGTCTATGAGGGAGGTTTATGTCCAGCAGTGGACGGATAATGACTGAAATGATGATGATGAATCTTAATTGTTATGGAGCAAAAAAAGCAATGATATTATTAATTCGTTAATTTGTATCACAGGGAGCGTACGGTGCGTTGTTCGTCGGTTCTGATCGGCGCCCTGGGTCTGTCCCTCATCGCGCTCGCCGTATACACCACCGTTCTGGTACTCACCGAGTACAAGACACCCAGACCCTGCGTCAGCGAGGAGTGTGTCGGAACAGGTGAGGAAAATCCTAGATTAGAGAAATTGGTACTAAATAATACTTAACTACCTAAATAAAAGTTAGACGCTTCACTTAGATTCCACGTTACGCCCACATCTTTAATGACTCATTCGAATTACCAATCTGCATACAAAATCTTCATTAGTATGTACAAAAGAATAAGTTCTGAAATTATCAAAAGTGATCTCACAGTAACCGGTCTTGGTGTCGACTGGGTTCACGGCCACTTAGGGTTGTCAATATTATTTCAACTAATTATAGTTTTTTTTTTTCGAAGTAAACTAAAATAAAAAAAAATATAGTACACTTAAAAATATAGTAAATTTTTTTTATACAACTTAGAATGGCAAACAAGCTGACGGCCCACCTAATGGAAAGTGGTAACCGTCGCCTATAGACATGAGCAGTACCATGGACATAACAGAGTATACTGTTTCGCCCATGATACCCCCCATGCGTTGCCATTCCTGAGGACTCAGGTGTTATTCCTCTGTACCCTGTAAATTCATGCTATATCCCACCCTTCAAACCGAAACACAGCCATGCAAACACAACTGCTTCACGGTTGAAACACGAATGGGACAGAGGTACCCAAGCAATCGCCTTTGTACAGTCTCTCTCTGGTTAACATATATTATTAAAACATATATTATTTTATAAAAAAAAAGGCGATTTTGTATTTCTTACTTATTTTCTTTATATATTTTTTGTTTCTGCCATGAAGCAGTTAAGTTTGTGTGGCTGTTTTTCGGTTTGAAAGGTGGGTGAATTTACAATTACTGCCATATCCCACAGGATAACAAGGGCGTAACACCTTAGTTCTCAGAAATGGCAACGCATGAAGGGTATCATAGGCGATACGGTATACTCTGCTATGTCTGTATGTATGTTATCAGCAACTTGTTTGCCATTCTAAATAGCATAAAAAAAAAATATAAAAACTATATTTTATCAATCAATAATTTAACAGGTAACAGAACACTTAAAAATAGTACGATTAAAAAGCATTAGATATAATTATATATATATATTTAATTAATTAATTCTTACATAAGGTATAATAATAACTATTTAATTCTAATATTATAAAAAATGTACAATATTGACCAATTAATTATTTTTAGGAAACTTATTTTTTTTTTGTTTACTACTTACTTGCATCCTTTAACAGTTTCTTTTTATTTACAAAAATCAAATTAATATTCAAATTAATATATTATTAATAATTCTGTTTCTCTCTTCTCACCTCTTCGAATTTATAATTGAATATATTCTTTCTGTAAATACTTACTGAAATATGATATCTTTGCATACTATGATATATTATTTAAACAGTGTATAACAGGGCAAGGTGAAATATAGTATGGTTGGCAACCCTACGGCCACTCTATTTGCATATACCAACAATAACAAATACACACGAACTCTTTACGACTAATTAAGAGGTATGTACAATTAATTAATCTATAAAAAAAAAAAGTTGGCTAAATCCAACAACAATCGACTTGGTTTTTACACGGACAAAATGTTGGTTTGTTTGAGTAATTATTTAAACATTTATTACATAATTGATTTAAGTAGATATTGATATTTAATTAGTATAGTATTATATTTTTTTGTATAATATAACAGATATTGCCGTGTGCTCTCGGCATAGAATGGGCCGTCCCTTTCTTTCCCGTGGGTGTCGTAAGATGCGACTAAGGGAATTTAGTGGTACAGGAATGGGTATTTTTATACAGCACCAAAGACTGTATTTTTTTTTGTAATGGATGATAATGGAATGGTAACCCCGCCTGCGTTAACGGTATACGCTGGCGGGGCACCAGTGAGGGGTGATAGGTGAGAATGAAAAGACAGGTCAGTTAGCCCATCGTGATGAATACACCTGGAATTCAGGACTATAGTTTCCAGATGGAACTGCGTGGAGGTTTACCTGTCAGGGTATATAGGGGGGAGGGGGGGGGGATTGTTAAAAATGGAGATTATGGGCCCCATTGCTAGCAATATACCCAACCAGGGCGACCTCCACGTAGTCCCCCCCGGAAACCATCATGCTAAATTCGTCACGATGGGCTAACTAACCTGTCTTTTCATCCTCATCTATCATCTTTCACTGGTGCCCCGCCAGTGTATATCGTTAGCGCAGGCGGGGTTACCATTCCATTATCATCCATTACAAAAAAATAAAGGGTATATTGCTAGCAATGGCACTGCTAGCCCGCATTACTAACAATCCCTTCCCCCCTAACTGGTTGAGAATGCTATTTATATTAAACCTACCATTTTTGCCAAGTTCTATTGAGCAACAATGTTTAACTAAATAAATTAATGCAGGCCGATTGATGATGCCACATGTATGGGTACGAGCAATGTAATTCATTATGTAAATAGAGCGACAAATGGATGCGTAACACCAATTAACATTTATTAATGACATAAACACCATGTAATTACCATAAGAATGCATAATGTATATCATCACAATTTATTAATGTTCACCAGTGGACAGATAATTGCTGAGATGACGATGATGGTAATGAAAAACTATGTGACATGTCATGTGCATGAACCGCAAAATCTGACCTGATACTCTAATTAGAAAAAAATAATGTCCGTTTACAATGGTAATGCTTGGTTTATTTCTTTTTATTAACACATTGACACTATCAAAACGTTTATTACATCTAGATAGAAAACAACCTCAAAATAATGATAGGGACAATAACGGGTCATTGTCCATTAAACAAACATTTATACACAATAGGAGCAACAGACAGCCCTCTATGTCGAGGCTGTTTCGACACCGAAGAAACGGCTGCTCACGTAATCCTGGAATGTGAGGCTGTGGCCCATCAACGTTTAGAAATTCTTAGGAACGGTGAGGTCGCTCCGTGAGGCCTGTGAAGAACTCAGGAAACTTCTGCGCTCCTGGGCGGAGCTAGGTTGGCTGCACTAGCCACGACTCATACGCACAACTGCCCAAATGAGAGGCAAAGGGCGGAAAACAGAGTCTTTCTCACATTCACAACACATTGACCGGCTTGTCAGTCACTATACTGACACTGACTGACACTGGAATACTTCAATGGGATTACGCGACGCGTAATTTTTTCCCGTTGGCGCTTTGTCAGTCACGTGTGACTGACACATAAAAATCCTCATAAAAATGGATCAAAATAAATTAAATAATCATATCTCTACACAATTTATTAAATATAACTTAAAAACATGGAATTTTTATGAAAAAAAAAAACTTGTTGGCGGCAATTGTGTTAAACTAGAAATGATAAACAAATTAAGGGTCGCGCGGTGAAAAGTGGTAACTGTCGCCCATAAGGGGGAAAGGGATTGTTAGTAATGGAGACTGAGAATCCTATTGCTAGCAATATACCCAACCAGGTCGACCTCCTCGCGGTTCCCCCTGGAAACTATCATGGTTAATTCCTGATGAATTCTTCATGATGGGCTAACTAGCCTGTTTTTATTCTCATCTATCACCTTTCACTGGTGCTCCGCCAGCGTATCCCGTTAGCGCAAGCGGGGTTACCATACCATTTTCACCCATAAAAAAAAACTGTCGCCCATAGACATAACTAAGTACACTATAATGCCCATGGCTCTCCACAAGCGTTGCCATTTTTGAAAACTGAAATGTTATGGCATGTTATGGTTGTGATTATGCCACATTTTGCCTGCCAAGCGTGGCGACTGGTGGCAGAACCCCCCTCTAGGGGGGACTATTTTTAGCAGTGAACAGTTATCGGTTAAAACAACAACAACAGTTCCCCATGACGTGTCCTCCCGTTCGACGAAATCTCTTATCCTCAAACTCCCTTCACACTCATCTACGCGCTATAGTGGATCTTTTACCGTCCATGCTGCTAGATTGTGGAATTCTCTTCCCATATCTATCCGTGAGAGTCAATCCCTAAATATTTTTAAGAGTAGACTTAAAGAGCGTCTTCTATCTCTATGAACTTATATTTATTTATCTATATATGTAAGTATATTGTATGTATACATGTATGTGTGTGTAAGTATATGCATAGATGTAGGTATGTATTTATGTATATGTATATGTGTATTTGTACGATTAAATATAATGTAATTAATTTAATTTTGTCTGTTTAAAAATCGTCACAATATTGTACACTGCTGTATCCGCTGACATTGATGCTCCTTTCCACTTTGGGTGTTGCTGGAAGAAAACTCTATCAGAGTTAAGCTCGCCTTTGTACTTTTGATTACCTCTGTCTTATTCTTAAAACAAGTGTGTACAATAAAGAATTAAATAAAAAAATAAAAAAAAAAAAACAGTTCACCATGCAGCAAGCAGATAAATATGGTTTTATTCGACTTGAAATGGTTATTAACTTAGGTATTCATTCTAAATCAACAACGCAAATAAAAATCACTATAATAAAATATTAATTGACCCATAAGATTAGACATTGCAAAACAAAATAGGCATGGAAATTTTCTATAGTAAATTCCCGGAATGCGGTTTTGCTATGACGCGTTTAAAAAATATATTTATTTTTGTGAATGTTGACATTGTGAATATCAACACATGTAATATTATAAAAAAAAAATGTCCCCATAAATATGATGTCATTTAATGAATAAATTATATATTTACAAAAAACAATCATACGTCTTCAATACGTTGACTGTCCACTGCCGAAAATAGGCCAGTAGTTGCCACGTTTGGCAGGCGGCCTGGCAACCTCAATTAGGCTTTGGTGCTGTTTAAAGAGAGACGTTGATGCCTATCCCTCGGCCATTAAGCTAAGTTAGTTGCCTTCTACGATATCCACGGGAAAGGAAGGGGTGGTCCCTTCTATGACGGGACCACACGGATTCATTACTTTACAAGTAACAGAAAAGATCCCTTTTAAATATATATAATATGTTACCAACAAACCTACTTTTTTTATGCCATGACAACAGAATGGCGACCCCGCTTGCGCTTTCGGTATTAAGCTGGCGGAACACTAGTAAAGATATGATAGGCGAAGATGAAGCAGTCCTGTTAGCCCATCATGACGAATTTATAAGAATTAATCGCTGTAGTTTCCAGGGGGAACCGTGTGGTGGTCGAACTAACCTACTTTATTAATCGTTTGAGTAATTAACGGGTCTAATAGTGTTTTCTACTTAATGTCCATTACTACAAGCTTTGCTTAATTCGACACTAGATGGCGCTTCGTACAGTGATATTTACTTGTCACACCCTCTTTACGGTGATGCATCTGATCTACCTATTCAAGTACTTTTTTAATAAACTCCGCCCGCGCTATCGGTATACACTGGCGGGACACCAGTGAGGGATGATAGGTGTTGAATGAAATGAATTTGATAATAAATCAATCACGATGATTTCTAGGGGCAACCACGAGGAGGTCGACCTGATATAGTATATTGCTAGCAATGGGGCTAGTAATCCCCGTTACTAACAATTCCCCTCCCATTCAAGTACTTGTGCTCCTAGACTCGTGCGCACTGTACGAGTATTTAAAAAATCGCACTATAATTATTACATCTGTACATATACGCCATTTATACAAAAAAAAAAAGAATAAATACTTAAATTAATAAAATATAATTTTTAGCTAGTTCGGGCCAAAAGAGCAGTTGAGATGTGAAGTTAACATTTTCGTCACTAGATGGCGTTATCGACAAATTAAAACACGCTATCGTAATGTTTTCACCTGCAGTAATGTATTGTGCAGCGCCCAAGAAATTAGAGTGACGACCTAGTGACAAATGTGTTGCAGGTTTAATCAGTACTTTTTGTAGTGACCACTGTATCGTACATGTCACTTAATTAATATTAATTTATTTATTTAAATTAAATCACTCGATTTTACGCAATTACACACGATTACACTATTCGACTAATACATCACTATACCTACGTAGTAATATTACAGTACTAGCTATCTAAGCCAGCTTTTCTCGAGTAGACAGAATTTTCGAAAATCAATGCATATAATAAAAAAAAATTTAGTCGGTCAAAAACTGCTCGGTTTTTTTATAGCATTCTATTATATATGTGATCCTTTAGATTGATATAACTTTTTTATTTATGAAGCGATTGAAATAAAACAAACAGTATTAAGTGGAGCCAACCGCAACGCAACAGTGAAAACCGCATTCAAATCGGTTAAGCCGTTTGTGAGATTAACATGTACAGACAAACAGACAGAAGTTCTAAAAATCATTATTTCGTTTTCCTATTGCCTTCATAAAGCCCTCTATAAAATAGTTTTACTTATATATCTTTCATATACAGACAGCGACCAGTTACGATTTTATATATATGTATGACGAGTTAAAAGCGAGTTATGTAAATCAAATCATTCGATTTATCAAATATACATGACTCACCGTGACGGGTTAATAATCTCTCGATACGACATATCTGTATCTACGTAGTAAAATTAATGAATAATAAATAGTTTTGGGGGCAAAAAAAACTGGTATTGTTTGGCGATGACGATTATCTGCAATAAACTTATATTCTATGGAATAATCCTTAATAATCATAATCCAATTACCATTTTTGTATTAAATAAAAATTACCAGATGGGAGACTTTGTACAAAAAGTCGATTGTTTGGGTACCTCTGTCCCATTCGTGTTTCAACCGTGAAACAGTTATGTTTGCATGGCTGCGTTTCGGATTGAAGGGTGGGATATGGCGTGAATGTACTGGGTACAGAGGAATAACATCTGAGTCCTCAGAAATGGCAACGCATGGGGGGTATCATGGGTGAAACAGTATACTCTGTTATGTTCATGGTGCTGCTCATGTCTATAGGCGACGGTTACCACTTTCCATCAGGTGGGCCGTCAGCTTGTTTGCCATTCTAAGTTGTATAAAAAAAATATTTAAAAAAATATGTAAATATAACTACAAATGTTTGTGAGTGTGTTTGAATGGATGAACGTTTGTGACACTTTCACGCGAAAACTACTGGAAGGAATTGAATCAAATTTGGTAAAATTCATATTCGAATTCATGCAAACAAATCAAGATACATTTGTATTATAAATGTGAAAGTGATTGCTTGTTACTTTCAACATTAGTATTTCAGTCGTTAACTGTCCTCTGCTGTACATTGGCCTCCCCCTTGCGGGAATTTGGATTATCAGCGTTACAGGTTACCTTTTCACCGTAAAGCCACATAAAACCTTAAATTTTTAATTACTTATAAATTAATAAATGATGTGCTTGTTGTAATGGCGAAGAAATACATCTACCTTTTTTTTATGCAACTTAGAATGGCAAACAAGCTGGCGGCCCACCTGATGGAAAGTGGTAACCGTCGCCTATAGACATGAGCAGTACCATGGACATAACAGAGTATACTGTTTCGCCCATGATACCCTCCACGCGTTGCCATTCCTGAGAACTCAGGTGTTATTCCTCTATACCCAGTAAATTCACTGTCACATCCCACCCTTTAAACTAAAACATTAAAACAAATATTGCGCCTTCTTTTATTGAAATAATTCCTATGTATGTTACACACATGTCACATAACCTATGTATATTATGTGTTTATAAACAATAAATTAAACAAATTGCGCACATGTACGCTGGACGGTGCGCAGTTGATCTTAATTATATTTACTGGAACGTTTTTAATTAAATAATAATTATGGTCGCGTGGATTCATAAATAAAATGCTTATGTTATGTGACGCATCCTGATATTTCCTATGATATCGTTACATTGTTAGACATTGTTTATTCTATCTACAAATATTTAATATACCTACCCGTAATGTTTAATTCCTGTTAAGAGGATTCATACTGTAGCTTCCGGTGTCTGAGAGCATCGCAACTAACTCAATTTTGGGGGGAAGTGATCGTTAGTAATAGGAAGATTAGCCCCCATTGCTATTAATATACCCTATCAGGTCGACCTCCACGCGGTTCCCACTGGAAACCATCGTGACTAATTTATCGTGAAATTCGTCACGATGGGCTAATTGGCCAGCTTTTTCATATTCACCTATCATCTCTCACTGGTGCCCCGCCTGTGTATACCGACAGCGCAGGTGGGCTTACCATTGCATTTTCAACCATACAACTGTCTATTTTTAATAACAATTTAATAAGTTTAAATATTTTTTTTTTAAAACATACGTTCATTTTTACCGATGTCTATATATACGTAAAACGGGAATTTTATGAAATTATGGTAACCATGTTCTTCAATGGCTGAAAATTAAATAGTAACCCCGCCAGCGATATCGAACTTTAACTGTAAGAAAAACTAAATCGATACATGTATTTTATACGAGAATGATTGACTAGTTTTAGGACCATCCAAAACTCTTAATAATGAGCGTACGTATAATTACGTACGAATATTCATAAATATTTTACTCCTATTCACAGCATCACGAATCCTTCAAGCTCTGAACAAAGACATGGATCCATGCAAGGACTTCTACGAGTATGCATGCGGAGGCTGGATCAAGAAGAACCCCGTACCGGACTGGGCTACCTCTTGGGACCAGCTGGCCAGGCTCAGGGAGCAACTGGTGACGGACCTGAGGGAACTGCTCGAAGCTGATGATGAGGAGGATCTACCCAAGAGTGTATTGAAAGCGAAGTCGTTGTACAGAACGTGTGTTAATGTCGGTAAGTGAAATATCAGTTTTATATAAAATATTCTTAAATAAAATTTTATGAAATAAGTGTATTTATACATATTTTTGCATTCAAAATTTTGACAGGCGCGTCTCCAAACACTAAATAGTACCAAGCAAGTCACTTGCGCTATACTATAGGTACTAAATAAAAAAAAAAACATTTATCGCAAGTAATAACACTCTATTAATTTGTTAATATTATGCCATTGGCGTATGATGTTTATTAAATTAGCTGCATGTACAAAATTAATTCTAAACTTATATATTTTTACGTTCTAATTCTAAACTTCAGTATTTTAACCTCTGAATTCTTAACTTTAGTATTTTAACCTCTGAATTCTTAACTTTAGTATTTTAAACTCTGAATTCTTAACTTTAGTATTTTAACCTCTGAATTCTTAACTTTTGTATTTTAACCTCTGAATTCTTAACTTTAGTATTATAATCTCTGAATTCTTAACTTTAGTATTATAATCTCTGAATTCTTAACTTTAGTATTATAATCTCTGAATTCCTAACATTAGTATTTTAACCTCCGTATTCTGTACTTCATTATTTTAACTGCCTAAAAACAAGCTAAATAAATTTACGTTAATTGTTATTATTACAAGACAATTCTTACATCGATCATAAAAAAATCAAGTTAAATTAAAGTTTGTTTTTGATTAATGCTTATCAAATGTTATCCGTAGACAAATTGGAAGTGGACGGAATCAAACCAATAGAACGTCTGCTCGGTAAACTGGGCCTGCCGCCGCGCCCCCCACAGCAGGCCAGCGAGAACTTCACGTGGGAGGAGACAACGGGCACCGGCAGGAGGTTGATGGGCCTCAATGTACTGTTAAGTGTGCAGGTCGCAGAGGACGTCAGAAACACCAGCAGGAATAGGGTTGTGGTGAGTACAAACTAACTTCGGATACTACAAAAATAACTGACAAACTAGTTGAAAGGCTGTAAGACCCTTACTAATATTATAAATGTAAAAATTAATTTGTTGGTTCGTTTGTAACCCCATAGCGTCTTAACGGCTAAACTAAGTGCTATGAAATTTAATATATACGTACTACATAGGGTACAGAAGGATGAAGGCTACTTTTTAACCTGGCCGGTAACAATATCCCGGCCATAATCCGGTTCCAGTTAGATCACCAGAGAGAGACTTTGTACAAAAGTCGTTTGCTTGGGTACCTCTGTCCCATTCGTGTTTCAGCCGTAAAGCAGTTGTGTTTGCATGGTTGTGTTTCGGTTTGAAGGGTGGGATATGGCGTGAATTTACAGGGTACAAAGTACAAACAATAACACCTAAGTCCTTAGGAATAGCAACGCATTCCTGAGGACCTTTCCGGGGGGGTATCATGGGCAAAACAGTATACTTTGTTATATCCATGGTACTGCTCATGTCTATAGGCAATGATTACCACTTTCCATTAGGTGGGCCGTCAGCTTGTTTGCCATTCTAAGTTGTATAAAAAAATATTAATAAAAAAACATGACTATTCTAAAATGCTTATAATACAAATGTATCATGACCTTTCTTACCAGATCGAGCAAGTATCGCCAGGGTTCAGCGACCGGTACCTGCTTCAACCGGAGCAGTTCGCGCACGAGCTGGCGCAGTACCACAAGTACATCAAGGAAATGATCACTATCGCCGACCCGGACACCGACGCCGGCCAATTCGCTGATGACATCGTCGAGTTCAGTAAAAGCCTCGCTAAGGTTGGTAATATGCTTAATAATTCTACCATCGGGGGGAAGGGATTGTTAGTTATGTTAGCCAGTTCGACCTCCACGTGGTTCCCCCTGGAAATCATCGTGCTGAATTCCGGAAGAGATCGTTATAAAAGCCAGTTCATAGAAAGAATATTTTTTAGGGTAAGTTACAGGTCATACAAATAAAAATTTACATGGGTAAAAATGGAATGGTAACCCCACCTGCGCTATCGGTATACGCTGACGGGGCATTTATGAAAGATGATGGATGAAAACAGGACAGTTAGCTAATCGTGACAAATTTTACAAATATGAACCACGATAATTTCCAACGGGAACTACGTGGAACACGTAGTTCCCTTTTAGTAGGCTTTTAGACCTCCGCTATTAACTTTCAAGTTATAATAGAGTTACGAAATTTATAATTGCAGATAATGACACCGGTGGAGGTCCGGCGTAGCGGCACCCACCTGTTCCACGAGGTCAGCGTCCAACAGTTCGTGCAGGGCTCCAGCGGTGGGCCCGCGACCTGGAAAGAAGTAAGGACCGTCCGATCAATTTCCTTCACTACTCTATCGTAGACTTGTTTTTGTACATAACCTAATACAGTTTATAGGAAATGGTTAACTTTCGGTGAAACTACGGTATTGGACACCCTAAAACAAGAACTCTTTGAAAAATCAAAGCATGGATTTATTTTGTAAAGCACATGAAATTGTCACTGTCCTTGAAAGAACATTTTGCACGATAATGTTAGCAAAACATGTTAGAACTATACAAATCCTACAATGAACAACAAGTATGTCTTTGCACTTACTATGTACACATGTTCGCAAATAAAATCTTTATCTTTAATCGAACGCTTGTTATTGTTATGTATCTATAAGGTTCCAGATTCCATTCCCAGGCAGAGCCATTTAGAAAATGAACTTTTCTGAAATGACTCGGACAGTACTGGGTTGTAGTGCTAGTTGTTTGTCACTTGGATCCCCATAACATAAGGTATACTAGCTTGAGGACCGGTCCATAAGTGTGTGGCGCTTGTTATCATCACCTGTGCCACTTTTCTCATTCCAGCACGATTGGGATCGCTACCTGAAGCTGGTGTTCGCGAACACGAGCGTCACCCTGCACCCGCAGCAAGACCGCATCATCGTGATGGATCTGCCTTACCTGCAGAAACTAGCCACCTTGCTGTCGGATACCAAGCCTGTCATAATTGGTACGTTTTTAAATAAACATCTAGATCGATGTTATTCATATTATTTCATGCTGAGGCTCCACTCACGAGGGTGCTACGTCTGTTCAAAGAGGTAGTAGCGAGTTCCAATCTGGACTTTTTTCACTGTACTGCCACAGAGTCTCGCAGAGCGGTAACAAATTACGCAAAAATGCATTTTTTATATTTATTTTATATAGCATAATTAGATTTTTTTACTATTTTTTTTAAATATTGTATCATTATAATGTTTGATTTTTTTAGTTTTTGGTGAGTGCATTGGCAACCTGTAAATCTCACCAAAAATATATATAAATAAATAAACAATTTATAGGCGAAAATTATCGTTTTCTTAGCCTTTATTAATTAAACATTTATTAATTAAGACATCTAGTTAATGTCGTTAATTAATAAATGTTTTAATTTGTTGTTACTTCCATTTACGTAGTGGAAGTGAAGTTAAAGTTGTAAAATTGTAAAAATATAGCAGTTATGAAGCTACTGTTAAAGTAGTCTTAAAATTTATATCAATTAAATCAAATAATTTATTTTTCTGGTCTACGGAAACAAACCATGTCGTTTTAGTCCTTCGAGCCGGATCTCAAACATGTTTAGTATAGTACTAAACAGAACATTATACCAAGTTATATATGTGTTGTGATATGTGATGTGTTAGCTTACGTTGGCTTGTAATTTTAAGTGTGTAAAAGTTATTACAAGTGTTTTAACTCAAATAAATAGCGCGAACGAGGATTAACAATGACGTCTATTAACTCCAGAACGTTTCCTGTGGTGGAGCGTGTTCTCAACGGTGGCTCCGATGACGCTGAGCTCTTTCCGCGACCTCGGGTTTGAGTTCTCGCGCGCAGTGTTCGGGCTGCAGCAGCGGACGCCGCGCTGGAAGAGCTGCACTGCCAACGTCAACGCCAACTTTGGAGTCGCACTTAGCTATTTGTACGTGAAGCGACACTTTGATCAAGACTCTAGGCAAAAGGTAGGAGCATAAGATATTTACATTTTAATCTAAATATAGGAATCTTCAAATATAGAGTTGTTTTTAAGTTAAAAAAGGCGTAAAAGTCTTTGCTCACATTATTCAGGAGCGTCATACGTGTTATAAAAAAAAAATATATCTAGTTAAAATTTCCAACTATTTTTTAATTGACAAATCTCAGTTTAAACTACATTCAACTATAAGAAAACACGGTGATAGTAAAAAAAAAGTAACAAAGTCTTTTTTATTAAAAGAAATATATTCCAAACAATTGCTCGTAGTAAGAAGAACAGTCCAACCAGTTTTGACTGGTGAAGAAATTATGCCATATATATCCCTCTCGCGCATCATGCTCATCATCATCCTGGTATCACAGGCGATCGAGATGATAGAAGATGTGCGCGAGGCATTCGCGGCGACGGTGCAGCAGCTGGACTGGATGGACACTACCACCCGGCTCAAGACCCTGAACAAGCTGAAGGCCATACGGAATTTCGTCGGCTTCCCCGCCTGGCTGCTCACGCATGAACAGCTTGATAAGCATTATAAGCACGTACGTTGCTATTATTTTGTTATTTTTTCAAAACTTTCCCGTATCTATGACAAAATTTTATTAAAAAAAAAATTAACGATTCGGATCATTGTCACCTTGCCTAATTTTCGGTACTTGACAAATTTGTCTTAAACAACTATGTATAGCTATCTATTAATTATTTTCAGGCTGAAGTAGTGGAAGACAACTTATTCGAAACATACTTGAAGCTGACATGGGCGGCGATAAAGAAATCGTTGGAATCGCTCAGAGAAAAGCCTGATAGGAACAGGTAAACAATATCAAATAGATATAAAGTATATGTCCATAATATATATCTGCTATATATATACATATATCATGACCATCTTTCCCCTGGAGTATTTTTTTTAATAAATGATAATAAAATGGTAACCCTGCCCGCACTATCGGCACACATTGTGCTAAGAAGACATATCATTTGATTTTCTTAAACAGTTCAAACAAAAACATTTTTATATACAACTTAGAATGGTAAACAAGCTGACGGCTCACCTGATGGAAAGTGGTAACCGTCGCCTATAGACATGACCAGTACCATGGACATAACAGAGTATACTGTTTCACCCATGATACCCCCCATACGTTGCCATTTCTGAGGACTCAGGTGTTATTACTCTGTACCCAGTAAATTCACGCCATATCCCACCCTCAAACCGAAACACAGCCATGAAAACAATTGCTTTACGATTTTGAACCTTAAGCGCTACAACAACGTTTTTCTTTCCACTTGTAGAAATCACACGATCTTTTATAATTACATATCTATATTTATTTATTATTTAATACTTTATTGTACATACCAGTTATACATTAAAATATGACAGAGGTAATCAAATGTACAAAGGCGAGGTTAACTCTAAAAGAGTTCCCTTATTTAGTTTTCCGTCTTACTCTATCTAATAATCCTTTAATTTTGCAGATGGGTGGCAACTGCAACGACAGTCAACGCGTTTTATTCAGCTACCCTCAATTCAGTCAGTAAGTACTCGCCTACTTAATTGTCATTAAATTTTTTTTTATTATTTCAGCCGTAGTCCACTGCTGGACATAAGCCTTCCCCATAAGGGGAGTTTTGCCAGTAGTTGCCACGCTTGACAGGCGGGTTGGTAACCACAGTTAGGCTTCTAGAGATGTTTTAAGAGGGACGCTGTTGCCCATCCCTTGTCCTCCCTTAATCGCCTCTTACGACACCCACGGGAAAGGAAGGGGTGGCCTATTCTATGCCGGGGCACACACGGCGAAATTATATAAATAATTAATAAGCAAATGGTGCAAGAGTTTTCAGAAGTTGAAATAATATGTCATTCCAATTTTCATTCCCTATTTAAGAGCTGCACACTTGTCGGTGGAGCTCTTGCCACTCACTACGGTTTTCAGCGAGTCTCTTCACCTCTTGATACGTACACGACACCAACTCCTTCCTTGATCTGCCTGATGTAACTATGTCTCGGTGTTACCCTTCCCCTCCATCCTTCTATCTTACTTAAATAATATGTCAAAATATGTAAAATGAGAAAAGGCATCCACGTTGATTTAAGCTCCTGTAAAGTATGACGAAACTGAAAGACAAATGTGGAAGGACGCGAGTGCTGAATAATGTCTAAACTGATCTATTCTTGACATGATAAAATACCAATGTTCTCATCGTCATTATAACCGATCCATCGTCCAATATTAAGCATATGTCTCCCCCATATTACGCCACAAAGTACGAACCTGTGTCACTTGAAATCGGCGACTCCCTACGACGCTCTCAAGATCGCCTCTCAATATCGCGTGGAATCGCCCAACACTACAATTGCTTGGGATGATAAATCAGTCACCTCTTAAATTAATAGATACGTTTTGTTATGATAGAACGAGACAACTACAACCTGCAACATCCGGCATCTTGTTCTTTAATATACGCGTGGTAACGAAAACGTATCTATCGACAGAATTATTGGCCATTTGTCTTGGTAGCCTGATGTGGAAATTAATAAAAAAATACTATATGTTTAAAATGCTAAAGTTCACAATTGTTTCACAGCGTTCCCGGCCGGTATTCTGCAGCCGCCTTTCTATGGCAATGGAATTGAGTAAGCATATTTTTATATATATTACGGCAAAATGGCAATAAGGTCTGCCTTATGGTATTCAATTACCGCTTATAAACTAAGCGATATCGGGAACTCTATAAACTACGTGCAAACTTACACGTTGACACCCTAAAACCGTTTCTAGTTAAATGCGCTCGATGACTTTTTTATAGATGATAATGGAACGGTAACCCCGCCTGCGCTAACGGTATACACTGGCGGAGCACCAGTGAGGGATGATAGATGAGAATGAAAAGGCAGGTCCGTTAGCCCATCGTGATGAATACTCCTAGAATTCAGCGCGATGGTTTCCAGGGGGGACCGCGGAGAAGTCGACCTGATGATATAATATATGACCTAACAATATACCCCATATTGCTAGCAATGGGATTGCTAATCTCCATTACTAATAATCCCTTGTCCCCTTGGAATATGACGTGTGAAGAAAATTTGAATTATACATTTTTTGTACTACCATGGTCGCAATTAAGCAAACGCTATTACCGTAGCCCGTGGACGCCTGTAACACCAGGGACGTCACGCGCGCGTTGCCGACCCTTAAGAAATCTTAATACACCATTTTTGAAGAACCCCATGCTAGAGCCTTTAAGGAAAGCCTCGGCAGGAAGATTATTCCACAACCTGAGTGTACGCTGGAGGAAGCTCCGTTCTAATTCTAAAGTGTGACTAAGTGTGTCATGTTCTTACTACCTTTATCCCAATTATTATTTGGGGTCGTCGTAATATGATTTTATCCATAATACTAAAGGATTTGGCTTATAGTTTTACAACCGACCCGCCTACCTGACGTCATACCTCTTTGAGAATGCATTTGTTTGCTGTGCTTTCCGCCACCTACGTTTAACTGTGTGTATTCCTAATAAACGGAAATGTTTCAGAGCGATAAACTACGGATCTATCGGCGCCATAATGGGCCATGAAGTGACGCACGGCTTCGACGATCAAGGTACAATTTCAAAATATTAATTTTATCGTTAACTGAAAATTAACGTTGAAAATTTCGATGCATTTTCGTAATTATATTCTAAGATTTTCCATGCAACTTACAATGGCAAACAAGCTGACGGCCCACCTGATGGAAGGTAGTAACCGTCGTCTATAGACATGAACATCACAGAGTATACTATGACTGCCGTAATACCCCCCATGCGTTGCCATTCCCGAGAAATTCGTGGTAACCAGTTGAATGTTTTTGGTTCACTTACAACTAAATCACAAATGAGTATCACCACAGTATGCACTTGTGTTCGGGATTCATGGGGGAGCCATTGGGGACACTTCCAGGCCTCGGCGAACTCCTTAGAGTTGCTCAAGGTCCCGATCACGCGGATTTTGTTGGGGCTGTGCACACCTTCCACCATTTTGGACTTGAGAGCGCGAGAGTGTGTTACCCTGTAATCTCACTGCCATATCGCCTTCAAACTGAAACTCAGTCATGTAAGCATAGCTGCTTTATTTCAAAAACAAAAAACTAAAAAAAAAAACACTTGCATTTTGCTCCCCATTCCTATAATCTTATGTTGGTAAGATTTTGAAGAGAGGCCATTGACTAGTGATGGAGTTACAGATTTTTACGATGACTTATTATACCAGGGCGACGTTACGACGAGGAGGGCAATCTGAAGCAGTGGTGGTCGGCGGCGACGCTGGAGCATTATCACAGCAAGGTGCAGTGCATCATCGACCAGTACAGCAAGTACCACATGCCGCAGCTGCCTAATTACACGGTACGTGCACACCGCTGGTCTTATCATATGACAAGACGGCATAATATACGTATCTAAGATAAGGTTTGACCAAGCCAGCGAATCCTCATTTTTTTATCTATACCTGTAATATCATTCTGGAAGTCAATCAAATATTTCGTCGTGTTTAAGACGATATTTGAAATTGTATAAAATAATTGCCTAAATGATTTTTTTAATACGGATTCGTTTTCTCATTTGAGACACCATATATGAATTTACTACAAAAAAAAATTAGAGAGAAATTTGAAAATGGAAAAGTCTTTTAATTGTAAATTATTTTTAAAATAAATTATATCTAGCCAGTGTGTTCTATGTCTATACTTTTTCTATAACTTTTTTCATGTAGCCAGTTATATTTTTTTTTATTTTGCCAAAAGTGATAATATTATTCAGATCATAAACAATACATAGATAGATAGATAATTTATTTGCATTACTTACGGCACACAAATAACAATACAAAGAGTAAAAAACAAAAAAAAGCGACAAAAAAAAAACAAAAAGCAAAATATATAAAACAACAATTTCAGTTTATTGTTTTGCCTTCAAAAGAGCAAAACACTGATATTCTGTTGTGGTCAATGAACCCCATATGTTCTCTTTGGCACTGTAACACGATGTGATGGGTGCGCAGGTGCACGGGTTCAACACGCAGGGCGAGAACATCGCCGACAACGGCGGGCTCCGCGCCGCGCTGCGCGCCTACTCGCTGCAGCGGCGCCGCGCCGGCCGCGCCGCCGCGCTGCCCGGCCTGCCGCACCTCTCGCCCGACCAGCTCTTCTTCCTCGGCTTCGCACAGGTACCGCCACCCTCCACTATTTGCATCATATAACTTCGATACCCTTGTCGCATAGAATAAACCACCCCTTCCTTTCCTATAGGTGTCGTATGTGGCATCTGTATATAAATATTGTAAATATTCATCTCATAGCCACTTATCAACATCATTACTTTCATTTCCATCAAGTAGGTTAATTAAATTGTACGTAGATATTTCGCCTCTTTCTTTCCTTCGGACTGCTCGTACAGACATGACAGCGACGTTTTACCTTCTACATTCATTTCTGCTGTCATTCTCTCCATCTCGATCGTCATTCTCTCCATCTCGATCGCTCGCCTCTTACACTCCTAATTTCCGTTTTTATATATTATTTTCTACATATTCCTTTGTATATAATATTTACCTTCTGTATATAATTTACTGGGTATAGAGGAATAACACCTGAGTCCTCAGGAATGGCAACGCATGGGGGGTATCATGGGCAAAACAGTATACTCTGTTATGTCCATGGTACTGCTCATGTCTATAGACGACGGTTATCACTTTCCATCGGGTGGGCCGTCAGCTTGTTTGCCATTCTAAGCTGTATAAAAAAAATGTAAATAGACAAAGTTAGTTGTTGAACCTATTTCCTTCAAACAACTACACGTATAAGGCAACTAAGGGAAGACGAGGAATGGGCAGCGGCTTCCCTCTTAAAACATCTCCAAATCTTAACTGCGGTTGTCAATCCGCCTGCCACACGTGGCCTCTACTGGTAAAACTTCCCTAGGGGAGCCTTATGTTCAGCAGTGGACAGTTAAAAGCCGATATGATAATGATAATAACTTTAAAAAGAGAGGGAAAAAGAGAATTGACAATAATGGTGTCAACCCCACTATTATTACAAGCAATGTGTCCCTATCAGGTTGAACTACACGTGGTTACCTCTGGAAACAATCATACTTAATTCCTACCGAATTCGTCTCGATAGACCGGTCTAATTATAATAATATTATTTCTTCATCGTTTCAGCCATTCTCTTTTAATGTAAATTACTACGACAAACTGTTCTGGCTACTTATAAATAAAAATTAATAACAAATTTATACTTACACAAATAAATAAGTAACCAAACTCGACAGATATGGTGCGGCAACTCGACAGTGGGCGCTCTCAAGTCCAAAATGGTGGAAGGTGTGCACAGCCCCAATAAAATCCGCGTGATCGGGACCCTGAGCAACTCTAAGGAGTTCGCCGAGGCCTGGAAGTGTCCCAAGGGCTCCCCCATGAATCCGGAACACAAGTGCATACTGTGGTGATACTCATTTGTGATTTAGTTGTAAGTGAACCAAAGACATTCAACTGGTTACCACGAAGTTACCGCCTTAGTTAAGTGTACAAAAGTGTATTTTGTATTTTATATCTAGTGATGCACTTGTTATGTCGACAATGTAGCATGTAAATTGTGCATTGTAAAATCATGAGATGTATTATACTTGTAAGGATTAATTACGAGCAAACTGTACACATTATTATTCAAAGAAACATTTGTAAAATTAGCTGATAATTGTATTATGCATAAGTAATTGAATTTAAGAAATACAAATTTAAAATAGAATCAACAGCTCTCACAATATATAAACTTTAAAATATTCTTTTAAAGACATTGTAGTATTTTTTAAGCATACAAATAAGTAATAGACATATTTATGTTATCATAGAACAAGATTCCTTAAGACTGTTTTTTTAATAAATAATATGAATTGGTGTTTAGTTTTAGAAAATGAACACACGACCTGTCACGAACATTGTGGTATTATTAAAAAAAAAAGACATGTTTATGGTTGTATATGTGTGATTTCATTCTATAGAAATAATATAACAATGAATCTCAATGCATCTCATTTTCTTAATAATGACAAAAAGCTATTTATTATGAAAACAATAAAAAAAAAAACAAATGAAATATTAAAACAAATTGTTTTATTTTTTCCTAACATATTGGAATTTGTATACAGGTGCAGAATGTTTGCTTCCCTTTTTTATTCGTTTCGGTTTGACACCCTTTGCATCCTGCAGATGGCGTTTCAGTTCCATCTTCTGTTGGATCACCATCAACTCCTTCTCCCTTTCAATTCTCTTTGCTAGCTCCTTATATTTGTTTTTTCTGACTTGTACCATGGCTTGAGTTGTCTGAAAGCAATAAAATGTATTAGATTGTAAGTTTAGAAATGTATATCTTTATTACATAAAAAAAAATGGCTGTAAACTTAATACCACTTATTCAAAGTCATAAGAAATAAAACAATAAATTAAAATAATATTCCTTGTTCCACAAATTAACAAAGTTATGATATATTTGACATAAAACAAGTATTCTGATATCTGACAACTAATAATAAAGTGTGACAATTGTTCATTCATACATAACTACCATTCTTAGATTATATAGTGACTCCATAAAAATGCTTTGACAAAAATGGATCAACTTTTTCATATAATTTTGCATGACAAATACTTATGGGTTATTTCTTTATAACTTGTATATTAATTTTATCTTATAATTTCTACACCTTTTAAATGTGCAAAAAATTAATTTTATTTATAAAATAATTAAATATAAATATGTCAAGATACATTTTATGCATAAAAACACTGTTAAAAAAAACAGGTCAGCTAATTTGACAATTAACTGACAAAAATTTGACCTGTTTTTTAAACTCGATGCTCTATATAAGCTATCTAAGCTGCCACTATACCTCCATGATTGGGAAAACATTTTTTTTTTTTATTATAAGTATAATAAATAATAATTTAACCAAAACAAACCACAATAACTAGGTTTATTAGGAATATTCGTTTTAGTTTAACCCACAACTTTTATCTCAGTTTGCCATCTAGTTCAGATGTGTTTACACACTGGTGAGACTAAATTAAAAAAAAAGTGTCAAAGATCTTTATGTAACTTTTATACCAATACTTACTTCTTTATCCACTTGCGGTAATTGGATCTTATCTAAATCGGAAAGCCTTGGTCGGTTTGACTTCCTACCCAGCAGTAGTGGGTGTGTATCCAGTCTTTTAGCTACATCAAAATCTTTCTCCTCGCCTTCATCTACAAAAAATATGTGCGTGTTTGGCGTGGAGTCTGCCACATCTGTCATATGCAATTCACTCTAAAACAAATATACATAAGTAAGAAAGTGGTGAATAAAAATGAATAATTTAATCTATTATGAAATAAAGGTAAGCATTAGGATATATCAGAGATGCTGACTGAAAAATTTTGTTAAAGCAATTCAATGCACAGTGATATTATGTAGAAAATAAAAGTGTGTGAAACTATGCAAAATAAGATAGATGTTATAAAACAATTAAATATATTTTATCATTTATGTACATATTGATAATGAAGTGAAAGAGGAACAAAAAGCTTATTTTAATATAAAAATGCCATAAATTTAATTTTAGTGCCAATGACTTTTACTCATATCTATTTAAAAAATGCCAAAGAAATCTTTGTCGTGTTGATGTATTTTCTCTAAAAAAACTGTATCTCCTCCAAAAATTATGCAATTTTAATATTTTTTTACAGCAAGCTAAACAGCTACTGATTTCCCGAGCGCTATGATGCTTGTGGCACTTTAAGTTGCAATGCGCATGAGCGTTGCGGTGCTCATCGGCACTTAAAGGGTTAAAATGTATAGCAACACTCCAAAGATATTTTATTTCCAATAATATATGTTTTAACTACAATGGTTGGTCGTGTTGAGGATGAGGTTAGTTAAATATTATTGGTTAATTGGTTGATGTACCTTGGTTGATTATTGTATTTGAGTAAAGTAGCAAATGACCCAGTCAATTTACTCCACACACATGCCATTTAAATTTTGTACCAAATTACCTGCAATCGGTCAATCCTCCTGCTTTCAATTGTACGCTTCATATTGATGTACCTAACATCCTGAGTTTGCATCAGTTTTAATTGCTCCGGACTATCCTCATCTTCTTTCAGTATTTCATGATGGACCTGAAGGAAAATTTATTTGATTAATCTTTAATCTTTTGATTAATATTAATCATAGTAAGTAACAAATTTCTTACCAATACATTAAAAAAAATATTATGATTGATTGATAATTTGCTGTAAATTATAGATTCGAACAAAACATTGACGGAAATTATTGTACTGTACATCTATGTCAGTTATAATATTTGTACTGAGGATGCAAAATTACAGGAAAATTTGAACTAGTGGTTAGGAACTTACACCATCTTTGACTCTAGAATTTATCATATGAAAATAAAATTCATCGGGATTTTTATCCAGAGTCCGTTTCCGTAGTAATTTAAGAGTTTCACCCTTCTCATGGTAATCATCTGCACGCCGCTTGTAATCTTTTTTCTTTTCTAAAATTCCCAAATGCTTTCTGGACTCTGGCTGATGTCTCTCTTTATGAGTTTTTTGGTTGGCCTTTGCAGCCTTCTTCCACGAAGACATCGTTATTGTTTTTTACTTTGAATAGTATTGTTTGGTGAATAGTCACTTTAATTAAACATAATTTAAAGAATAGTGAAAAAATAAATCATGGTCACATCCACACGTGTAAAATTCGTTTGGAAGACGGACTTTAATCGCAGACTAACATATTTGACATTGACAAGAATGACAATCTTCAAATAAATGTCACATTGACATATTTCTGACACTTTTTGATGGCGCATTTTTAATGTATCACGGTTGCGGATACTTGCTTTTTGTTTATCTGACGCAATCTGACGACACTTTTTTACCGTTCGTATTATTTCTCATAGAAATTTAAATTATTCCATCTTTAACTAGCGGAAATTTAAAAATTTCATTAAATTCGGTTAAGCGACCTCAAAAATTAACATAAACGAATATTGCGATAAGGGTTTTTTTTTATATATATTAGAAATAATTTGTTTTAAAAATTATTTAACATGCATTGAGCCTTTATTCTGTATAAATTCTTTTGCCAAATTTGTTAACAAAATAAGACATGAGAGTTTTTATTAAATCATTATCCGAAGTCAGAATAGTTAGACCAATAGTAGTAGTAAAGACATTAGGTAGGGGTAGTGGCTAATGCAATAAAACAAATTCGCTTTAAATCATATGTATTTAATTGTACAGGACACTATTTACCTATTTTTCTGTATGATCTCATTGCAAGCGGTAACTTGATAAATATAAGGCACAGAAACTCTAGTGCACTAAACAGACCCACTCCTAGGAACATATTAAATACTCCTCCCAGTGCCGCTGGAAATAATAAATTATATTATATTTTATTTTACTACTGGGATGGCAATTAAGTATACAACCCATGAGATGGTAAGCAGTAACCATAACCTTTGAACACCTACAGTACCAGAGGCATTACACGTGCTTTGAAAAAACCTCTTTCCTCCTTTTTTGAAGAACCCTGTCCATACAAATGTAAATTTCTACTAGGAGTTATCGCAGTTGGCCGCTATAATAGATAGATAAGTAGGTACATAGATAGCTTAATAAGTTTTAGGCAAAGGACATAATATTAGGTCCAAACTAGTAGGTATGTTCAACTAAACGGGAAACGAACCTACTGGCAACAGAAGATGAAACTGTTTTATTACAAAAATAGCTTTATCAAACTATCGTATTTTTACAGTTTTATATTGAATAACAAAATTTTATATAAAAAAAAAAATAAAACAAAAATAACGATCACAAAAAAAATATAGAGAGTGAAGAGCCATATCCAATACATGCCATGTACATGAGAAGTTAAGTCCTTTCGTATCGCTGTTGTATTATGTAATTTAATGCTGATAGTCGGTATATCGTCGATGTGCAGCGAAAAATCACTAACTAACATTTTTGGCGAAACCTATTTTTTGCCCCATTTGGTTTAAAATACAATAATCTACTCTATTTTAAAAAATATAAGCGTTTTTTTTTTTCATATTTTGAAATTACAGAATGTCAAGTACCAGTTCTACCGGACCTTTCTCCGCGAAAACAAATTTTATTTTAGTTTAAACAAATAAACTGCTGTTGAATTTCATTCATTACACGTAGTTTTATTAAACTGTAAGCTATGTTTTCTTCCTATAAATGTTTTTGATAGCATTTAACGTTTAGAAGCTATATCGATTTTTACGTAAAAAAATATTCAAACGCGATTATTCTCAGAATCTGTTTATTTTCCTTTGTTATTGATGAATTTTCGCTGCATAACGACGATATTCTTTACAGGATACTTACACAGCAACGTGAGCCACGTCTCAGTTGGTATTTGTGTTATTATCTTGCAATTTTCCAGTTTGACGCGAAAGTGAACCACTATTGAAGTGGTTTCATTCAAGTCGCGACTGTAAAATGAATATATATGTAAGTGAGCAATTTTGTAAATTGTTTATTACGTTAAGGTGACTTTGTAATGGAATGTTGAGCTCGAAATATAATAATTTTAAAGACTTAAAAATGAGTTCTCCGCGTATAACCCAAAAACTACTAAACGAAATTGTAGTGAATCAATTGTGCAGGTTTTGATATTTTTTTCAACATACTAGGTGAAAATTTGACCAAAATATAGTAAATTGCGTAAACACACATTATATTTTCATATAATAACAACCGGTTTAATTTACGTGTAATTAGATCGAGATAACTCGACTAGTTTCGGGATCAATTCCTGATCCTAAATCATGAGCGACTGTAACGACCTAATTACACATAAGTTAAACCGGTAGTTATTACATTAAGGTATAATAATTTCACAAGGGGGTAATTTTACGCTATTTAATGTGCTAACAGAAAATCCTATATAAATTTTGTCCAGTCAACGTTACTTTAAAATAATCATTACTTTGTAATTCCTTAACATAATTGCATATAAAACATTATGAATTTTTAATAATAATATTATTTTTATAGAAAAACTAACTGTTGCTCACGGATTCGCTCGCGCATAAGTAGTATAAGTGATGGAAATGTCTGTGCTGAATTTACATTGATGGTTTCAAAAAAATACCTATATTATGGCGTATTTATTTTTCTAAAACTCCGTATAAATTTAAGTTCCATCTTCACTTCACACTTCATTTCACTATGGTAATGGAGTTTGCATACAGAAAACGTATTTCTTGCCTCTCTCTAGGGAATGATACTGATATCTTATATATTTTGCATTTTATTATTTGCATCTAGAAGTATGTAAGTAAATGAAAATTCTTTTAGCATAGCAGAACAGAGAAATAACACCTGAGAGTAGTAGGTTTGCGCGGATTCTGGCTCACTCGGCGGCGGCTTCCCAAATAAAACTCATTCGACAAGACTTGTTTCTAGTTGGTTAAGTTAATCTTCAACTTTTATATGTGCATCATGTTGCGGCTTACTGTCACTTTGTGTGGGTAGTTCATAAGACTCGTTTGCATCTTGCAGATATTTTTAGACGGTGTTTTACATTAAATATGCTTACAACCACTTTATCTCTAAAAACCGAAAAAAAATGCCATCCAATATTTATAAATAAAAACGCGAAATTACAGAGATTTTTTTCTACCCGAATCGTTGGAATTTCTAACGACTAATATCACTCCGAAAAAAAAGGGATACTTATGTCAATAAGGAATGTTAATTTTCACATAAAAATAAAAACCGACCACATTCGCGTTTCTAATTGTTCGTCCAGCCGACTCTATAAAAGCCGTTTCATAATTTTAAATGTATCACAAGAATAAGAATTGCTGTATTGAATGTGTGGTTCTCGTGTGTTACGTTAACTCTGAAGAATATTGGAGGTGAGGTGTTGAATATAGACATAAATTGATTTTTTATAAATCTAGTCATCGTCAAAAGCCTAAAGTTGCGATGTTTTGTAACTTAGATCAATTTAATTTTAGTTGCTAAATAATCAAGCATTGTCTTATAATGAGGTCTGATTTGTTCTCACTCTGCAATAATTATATCATTTAATAACGTGCTGTATTGTGTGTCATTTATTCGCATTTGTTTCAGCTTTCTATAAACGAAGACACAGTGGATTATACATTGAAAAATTATTATTATCCCATAAGTGATGACGAGCGGCAAGATAATACTTTGCTGAAAAGCAAAAAAAATTCTACATTGAAGCGGGCTAACAACAGTATTGAGCATTTCTTTGAAAAGCCAAAAAAAAAACGAAGGCAGTTCTCAGATCGTCGGTTGGTCAATCGAATCAGAGTGGAACGTCTTATATATCCACAAGTGTAGAAAACCAAGCGAGCCATCTAATCTAAATCGAAATATACGACATGAAAAAACTAAAAGATATACCAAGCAATGACCACTGAAAATACGCTGTAATGTCCGTATTAAATATTACATGCAGTCAGAAAGTGATAAATATTTACAAAGTACTCGAGACATCGTTTACAATATCACAAAAGATATTTCAGAAAAAAAACGACTGCAAAAAATATTTCTTTGAACGTAACGACTAACGCCACCTGCTTCGCTTTATTTGTATTCACATAAAAAATAAATACCGATCACATTCTTGTTTTCACATGTTCGGCCAGCCGATTCTATAAAAGACTCATTCAAGCCTCATCATTTTTTTTACCCGAATCGTGGGAATTTCTAACGATTATCCCTAAGGAATATTATAGTTTAATTTATTTGCCACCTGCTTCGCACCGCCCACTCGTACCTGTATAGGTATATAAAGCAAGCTTGCTTGTAACTATTTAGTTGTAAGCGATATCACAAGCAAAATAAAAATGTGTGCATTGTACATTCCAGTTTTTGACTGTCTCTGTGACGAGGAAAATTGCGTGTGTCATTACAGTTGCTTTCTAACGCCGCCGTCGGAAGTGGAACTCAGTCGCAGTCCTTCGCCTCAACTGGATGAGTTACAAGTAGGGTATAGCCCTCAATCACCATCAAGTCCGTCCACCACATCCACCGAGTGTGAAATGGTCGGAAGAAAACGAAGAAAAATCCACTTTGGCGGAATTGGAAATGGATCATCATCCTCAAATATTTGACACTGAGTGTCTAGTATATTTTGTCGGAATGTCTAGTGTCCGAGTACCCAGTGTCTGAATGTCCACTGTCTGAGTGTCCAGTGTCCGAGTGTCTAGTGTCCGAGTGTCGAGTGTCCGAGTGTCTAGTGTCCGAGTGTCTAGTGTCCGAGTGTCCAGTGTCTGAGTGTCTGAGGTCTAGTGTCCGAGTGTCCAGTGTCCGAGTGTCTAGTGTCCTAGTGTCTGAGTGTTTGAGTGTCTAGTGTCCGAGTGTCTAGTGTCTGAGTGTCTAGTGTCCGAGTGTCCAGAGTGTCCACTGTCTAGTGTCCAGTGTCCGAGTGTCTAGTGTCTGTATGTCTGAGTGTCCAGTGTCCGAGTGTCTAGTGTCCAAGTGTCTAGTGTCTAGTGTCTAGTGTCAGAGTGTCTAGTGTCTGAGTGTCTGAGTGTCTAGTGTCCGAGTGTCCGAGTTTCTGAGTGTCTAGTGTCTGAGTGTCTAGTGTCCGAGTGTCTAGTGTCCGAGTGTCCAGTGTCTGAGTGTCCAGTGTCTGAGTGTCTGTCTGAGTGTCTAGTGTCCGAGTGTCTAGTGTCTGAGTGTCCAGTGTCTGAGTGTCTAGTGTCCAGTGTCCAGTGTCCGAGTGTCCAGTGTCCGAGTGTCCAGTGTCCAGTGTCCACTCTGAGTGTCCAGTGTCCGAGTGTCTAGTGTGTGAGTGTCCACTGTCTGAGTGTCCAGTGTCCGAGTGTCTAGTGTCCGAGTGTCTAGTGTCCGAGTGTCCAGTGTCCGAGTGTCCAGTGTCCGAGTGTCCAGTGTCCGAGTGTCCAGTGTCCGAGTGTCCAGTGTCCGAGTGTCCAGTGTCCGAGTGTCCAGTGTCTGAGTATCCAGTGTCCGAGTGTCCAGTGTCCGAGTGTCCACTGTCTGAGTGTCTAGTGTCCGAGTGTCTAGTTTCCAAGTGTCAAGTGTCCGAGTGGCCGAGTGTCTAGTGTCCGAGTGTCCAGTTTCTGAGTGTCTAGTGTCTGAGTGTCTAGTGTCCGAGTGTCCGACACTAGACACTCGGACACTAGACATCTAGACGCTCAGACACTAGACACTAGGCACTCAGACACTAGACACTAGACACTAGACACTGGACACTCGGACACTGGACACTCGGACACTAGACACTCAGACACTAGACACTCAGACACTCAAACACTGGACACTCAGACACTGGACACTGGAACACTCAGACACTAGACACTGGACACTAGACACTAGACACTCAGACACTGACACTCGGACACTGACACTCGACTACACTGGACACTCAGACACTAGACACTCGGACACTCGGACACACACTGGACACTAGGACACTCAGACACTGACACTCGGACACTAGACACTCAGACACAGACACTCAGACACTCAGACACTAGACACTCGGATACAAGACACTCAGACACTCGGATACAAGACACTCAGACACTCGGATACAAGACACTCAGACACTAGACACTCAGACACTGGACACTCAAACACTAGACACTCAGACACTAGACACTCGGACACTGGACACTCGGACACTGGACACTCAGACACTAGACACTCGGACACTAGACACTCGGACACTAGACACTCGGACACTAGACACTCGGACACTAGACACTCAGACACTAGACACTCAGACACTAGACACTGGGACACTAGATACTTAGGCACTCGGACACTCGGACATTAGACACTCGGCATCATGGGCGAAACAGTATACTCTGTTATGTCCATGGTACGGTTGGTATGGTATGGTTCATGTCTATAGGCGACGGTTACCACTTTCCATCAGGTGGGCCGTCGGCTTGTTTGCCATTCTAAGTCGTATAAAAAAAAACATATATGTCTACACAACCGCTCTAATACATTAAATGAAAATAAAAAAAAAATTATCACCCCTTTTCATCTGAGGAGTGAAAATTTCAAAAACTTTAATCTAGGTACATATTACATAATCCATGTAGTTCAATAACTACAAATAGATAGATAGATAGATAAATAGATAGATAGATAGTTAATTTATTTGCATTACTTGCAGCACACAAACAACAATAGACATATACAGTAAAAAGAGATAAAAGAATGCATATACAAAAAATACAATAAAATAAATAAAACAACAATTTCCTTCTTTCAATATTCAAATATTAAATTTCAAAGAGATGTGACAATATTTTTTTTATTTTTATACTAATTTTCCCACCCCACTTCTTCCGTTTGTAGCTTAATTTCCAATAACGACTAAAGACATAGGTATGTAATTATTTTAATTGTAAAGTTTTTATGAATGAATGAATGAGTATACTTTATTTGCATTATACAATATAGGAAATAAGCA